ATCAAGACTATCCGTCAAAGGCTCAAGACAGCTCAAGACTGACAAAAGAACTATGCGGATGTTCGAAGAAGACCTCTTGAGTATGAGGTCGGTGACCATGTGTTCATTCGTGTGTCTCCAATGAAAGGCCAAGTCAGGTTTGAAAAGAAGGGCAAGTTGTCGCCCCGTTACATTGGGCCGTTTCAGATTTTGGAAAGGCTTGGTCCAGTTGCCTATAGAGTTGCTTTGCCACCGGGATTTGAGCAAATACATAATGTGTTCCACGTATCGATGTTGAGGGGTTACCTCTGAGACCCGTTTCATGTGATTGATTATCACCGGGTAGCTATTGATGAGAATATGGAATACGCTGAATGGCCGGAACGAATCGTTGATCGACAAGTGAAACAATTGAGAAGGAAGTCCATCCCAATGGTGAAAGTGGAATGGAAAGAACACTATGGGACGGATGCCACGTGGGAAAAAGAGGAGGAAATGCGACTACGCTATCCACATTTGTTTCCTGACGAAGGTAAATTAAGTTTGGAGGACCAAACTTCCTGAAAGGGGGGAAGACTGTGATACCCCTGTTCCGTAATATGTTAATTGGTCCTTAATATGAATGTGATTATGTGTTTTGACATGATTGTGTGCACCATTATGTGAAAATATGTGGTTTTGAATTTCTATCTGTTCACCGTAGGAATATATGTTTCATTATCTGCGTTGAAAATTAAATTGAAGGCCTTATCGGCCACAGAACCCGAAATTGATTACGTCATTATGATTAGCGTAATTTTTAGAGCCTACGGTGAAATTTAATTGAACATTGATTTGGGTCAGATTAAATTGATTTATTTAATGGCTTTGTGCTCAAATTGTTAATATTTGTAATTTTGGTTAGTGGGATTTGTTGTGTAAAAGCACTACACCTCTCATTCCCTCTTGTATCTTCACTTGGACTGATCAAACTCTAAGAAAGAGAGAGGGGTCGGCTGTTAGAGAGAGAGAGATGGAGAGAATTGTGTAATTTTTTACTCAAGCTTGGGAATTTGAAGTCTAGTTCAAGAATTAACCATAGATTGGGCTTCTAGGGAAGCATTGATTCTTGAATTCGTGAATTTAATGTGTAATCTTGTGTGTTCAAAGTTGTGTGATGATGTAGAGCATGAAATGGGTTGGTTTTGTCGAATTTGAAGTCTTAGAACTCATGCATGTAAGTTTTTAGTTGAAGATCATGTTCTTGACCATCTCTTCATCTTATAAATTGGGAATGAGAGTGGTATACCACATGCATGTACAAATTTATGAAGATGTAAGTATTGAATGCATGAAATTGTTATGTTGGTAACGAGTTTGGTGGAAAATGAGCCATGCATGTGATTTATTTGTGAAATCGAGCTTCATTGGGTTGTAATTTGGGGCTTATACCATGTTAGTATGATTATATTTGAGATTTGAGCCATTGCAAGCAAGAATTGTTGGCTTGAAGGTCGAATTTGAACTCAAGAACACAATCTGGGAAATCCAGAATTTTGATGTCCGCTCGAGCGGGGTAATAGCCGCTCGAGCGGGAAATATGTGCTCCCAGTACTTTTTGCAGACTTGGTGTCCGCTCAAGCGGGGTATTTCACGCTCGTGCGGGAGAGCTTTGTAGACAGGCCTTCCGCTCGAGCGCCCTATTTCACGCTTGAGCGTATTTTTCATGCAACCAGTACTTTTGCAGGCCTTAAGGGTCCGCTCGAGTGGGGAAGTCCACGCTCGAGCGGGGACCCTGTTTTCCGAAATTTTGTTTTCGCATTCTGTGTTTCGTTTTCCGTTCTCCTTCACTTGCAAACACTCTTAGGCATGTATTAAGCATTATAATTGAGTGAAAGAGATAAGAATAAAGCCTAAAAGAGGAAAATGTGAATTTAGAACGGATTGAATTGTTAGTGACCCTTTTGTGTTCGTAAAATGTGTAGGGTCGAGCTCCAGGGCAAATCCACAAGCCGATCACTGTGAGTAATATCTTAATAAGATATCTAGAATATGTTGTTGTCCTATTGTTTATGTAAGTTATGTAAGTTCATTAGTTCGAATGGCGGACAACGATTGACATGAATGATTGGGCCGAAGGCTGATTGACATAAAAGATTGGGCCAAAGGCCAATTGACATGAATGATTGGGCCGAAGGCCAATTGACATGAATGATTGGGCCGAAGGCCGAATGACATAAATGATTGGGCCGAAGGCCGATTGACATAAATGATTGGGCCGAAGGCCGTTTGACACAAATGATTGGGCCAAAGGCTGTTTGCTATAACTGTTTCAATAATTGCTTATGTATCTCTTTTTTTTATTGATATTATTCACTGGGCATTCGCTCACGCTCATTCATGTACATGTAGGTGAGCCAAGGGACGTCCAAAACCAGCCCCGGTGAATTATGAGAAACAGTCAGAGTTTTGAAGAGTCAGCCCAAAAGTCTCACGCATGAGACTGTCTTCGCCCTTTTGTCCTCTATTTATAGTTTTTTTTTGTTTGCGAAATCATCGGACCATTGTCGAATATAAGTCTTGTGTTTGGCTGACTTAAATCTGGATGATCCTGTATGTACAATGTTTTGTATTAGTACATATTCTGATGTGAGTTATTAACATATAAATGTTTGAAATGTTATGGTGTGTATATAAGTACAGCTCTATGGACAAAGTTTTAAATTGCTTCCGTTTGGCCCCTTTTACTCTGATGAGTTTTGACTTATTTGATTGAGGCCGTAGGTAATCACACGATTACTGGCCGGTTATGGCCTTAACCCATAGGAGCGGGTTCGGGTCATGACAAAGATGATGATACAAAATGCACCAGTTCTCAGGGAGGGACTGTTAGATACATTAAACTGGAATGCAGACAAGTCTGGTAGGTTTAGAGTTGCTTAAGTCCACAAGGGAAGTGAACCACAATCTGAAGTTAATGTAAAATTAAGGGAATTCATTTGGAAGAATGTGGCTCCACCAAAGGTGCAATTTTTTGGGTGGTTAGCATGGAGAGAGAGAATCAAGATAGCCTGTTATCTCCAAAAAGTTGGAGTTCTAAGTGAAGCCTCAAATGTAAACCGTATTTTTTGCAGAAATGAAATGGAAACTGTAAATCATGTGCTGTTATGTTGCCCTATTGTTTGGAGGATCTGGTCCAATATTATCAACTGGTTTTCTTGGGCTATGCCAGGGTCAGTGTCAGGCCTATTGCAATGGTGGGAGGGATACAGAATAGAAAAAAAAAAAAGGAAAGTTATTTGAAAGGTCTTTTCATTGGCAGTGTTATGTCCATTTGGAGGCAGAGGAATGAGAATATCTTTAATGGCTCTCAAGTGGATTTGGAAGGGTTGTGTGAGCTTATTAAGGTCAGGATTGCATTATGGGTCAGAGCTTCTAACCCTTCCTTTAGTTACTCAGTTAATGACATAGTGAATAATCTGCAGCAGGTTAAAGTATGCATCATGGTCTAATCATGGCTGCTGCTTGAGGTTGATTCTGGGCCGTGTTTTAGTTCTACATTTTGATCTGAACTGTCAACTATGTGCTATGTTGCTCTGCTGAGGTCTTATTTTGCCTTAGGTATCTGGTTGTCTGAATATCTGCTATGTCTTCTGTGGTGCTCTCTGGTGCGTCCTGCATTAGATGCTATAGAGGGTCATTGGTCTGAATATCTACTTTTGAATGATTTGCCATTGCCTTAGATAATCTAAATGATTCCTAATTCATTAATTAGGACTCAGCTAGTTGTGGTTGTTCTAGCTAATATATCTTCCAAAATTCATTAATTCATTAATTAAGTTTCTCTAATAATTTTAAATCCCTGTAATGTATCTTCCAAAATTCGAAGCCAAGACATTTTTAAGGTACTTATTGCTTTTATGTTTCAATTGGATTTAACTTTTGTGGCTTTGTATATAAGGTAGTAATTTTTTGATTGAGAATTGTGAATTCAATTTTTGGATATATTATTTTGTGGAAAAATTAATGCTATATTAAATTGAATGGGAAAGTGAATTAATACTATATTTGTTATTTGAATGGGAGTTATTATTTCATATTAGTGTTATTTAGTTTTATTATTGGTGTTCTTTTAGTTCAATCACATAAAATTAGCACAATTTCAAAACCAAAAAAAAAAAAAGAAAGATAAGACGGCGTTTTTCAAATGCCACTATAACGGTTGGAATTTTTAAAATTAAAAAAAACCTATGAAGGCGTTTTAAAAACGTCGCTAAAATCATACTGACGTCACAGTATTGTTAGGTCAGGGCATTTGGCGGCGTTTTTAAAAACGCCGCCTATACTAATACAGCGACGTTTTCCAAACGCCATAAAGTTATAGCGACGGCCGCGTCATCGGAGTTTGGTATTAAACGTCACAAAAAGAATTGACGACGTTTTTGGTACCTATAGCGGCGTTTTTTAAACGCCGCTAAAAGCCTAATTTCCAGCAGTGATGTTTTGATTTTAAACTTTTGTTTGGTGAAAGAAAAATATATTTTATACAAAATTAATAAAAAGAGCTTTCATAATTATAGCATCCGCAACAAAAAAAAAAGTTTGATTATCAATTTATTGTGAAAAAAATTCAAGAATTAATTAATATGAATATTCTGAATAGGATGTATGTGATGGATTCCACTGTTCTAGTATTTTATTTATTTGATTAAATCCTTTTCAATATTTAGAATTTTATTATTTTTCATTCTATTAAAACTCAAGGAATCCTTTTCAATATTTAGAATTTTATTATTTTTCATTCTATTAAAACTCAAGGATTTGTTCAACTAGATTAGGTAATTTATTTTAAGATTAATTGATTATTTTTAAATATCAAATCCCTGTTGGTTCGACGTTATTCTTGCCTTGTCTATACTCCAATAGATTCGTACACTTGCAAGTAATTATTAAAATTAGTACATCAATCATTGTTCATTTTGTATAAGTTAAGGATATATTTGTATGCCAATTTTATGAAAATATTCAATATTGGAAGAGATTCAGAGTTATAATTCTTGTTTGATGTTCAACAAAGTTGACTACAAATGGTGCAAAGCAATAGATTCAACAAAGTTGTACTTCCTAACAACTAATTGAAGTAGCAATGAGTCAGTCAGGTTTACAATCCACAAAATTAGAAAAACCATCAAATTTGTGGAATAATATACAGAAGTATGTACATCAAGCGAATGATGCTGACCTTGAAACCTGAGATAAAGCATCATCAAACTGATCTTCTTCAGCCCTGTCAGAAGCAGTCAAGCTTGGCGGAATGAAAGATCTAAACACCATTTCCATGTTTGGTGTTTCCTTGAATTCACGGCAAGCAACATCAAGAGCTGTAGTTTGGAAGAAATGGTAGAATTTCTTTCTACAAACCAAGGAAAAGATCAATGACAGTATCGGAAGTGGAATTAGGATTGGGGCATAGTAAAACTTCTTTATTCCAAAGTAACCGAACGTGGTAACTTGGTATAATAACAATGCAGCCACAATGCGCCTGTTTATGTGTGGCCACATCCTCCCGTAGCTCTCATAAGATGGAACGTAAACTTTGAGTACCTGTTATGCATGTATATAGGTCGAAAGAAACAAAAATCAAAACAAGCAAACAAAATATGAAAGAGGCAAAACCCTTAGCATTGATAGAAATAGATAGAAAAAGGAAACAATGCGTTGCAATTTGCTTCCTAAATTTTATTACTTAATATAGCCTTGATAGAAAGCAAAACTATGAAACAGAAATAAGGGCTTACACCAGAAGAGAAAGACATTGCTAGACTTGCCTGATTCCGAAGAACAAGCCAACCAAGGCCAAAGTACAGCACACCGAATGGAATAATGATAGGGGCAATAACAGAGTAGCAAAGGACAATTGTGATGATAAGCATATCACTGGGTATCCTAGTTGCAAACCCAAGATCTCCTGGACTCCAAGCTTCTTTCAGCTCAGCTTCAGTCTTGCAAGCATACTTCCTCTTCAAATGGTAAACGATTAACGGAACTATTCGAGATAGCTCCAACCCATAGCCGACAAAGAACCTGAAATATAGAATTATAAACTCACTTCACTTGTCATAATGATAGCAAAATACTGACATTTGTTTTTCCTGTGCCCAAATGACTTCCGTTATTTCCCAACGAGGATGGGCAAAAATTAATGTGACGAATTAAAAGGAAGAATGAATAAAAATAAATATAAAAATAACATAAAGAGGGGGAAATGTAAGTTGAAATAAATGAATAACAGAATTAAGAGTTCTACTTAGAAATACATTGCTACATTCTTTAATGTATAAGTTGTTTAAACTATCTGTACTTCGAATACAATGGAATAACTTCATTTATTCAATACATCCATATCCACCTTGAAGCATCTTGAGTTCAAAGAAGAAGAAGAAGAAGAAGAAGAAGAAGAAGAAATGAATGCAACAAACAAACTTTATCAAACATTTGTAGTTGACCACCAATTTTGGAATTTAGTCCATTGATCCCATACAACACAAGTTCAAATTAAATAGACCCAAAAAAATTATGTTTTCCCAACTGATGTAGATTCCACGGATGATACCATGAATACGTTCATTTGAAATAGTATACATCAAATTTTTTTACTTCCCTCTAACACCACTTGTGCATCAAATATTGTTGAACCAATTTCTGATCATAACAGTGGCTCAAACAATAACTGCTACAGAATGTCAATCCCTTTATAATATGTAATTTATAGTTGCCCAAGTTTAGACCCGACCCTTTTACACTCTTTGGTTGTGGGTTTTGGTATCTTTTGGTGTAGTTGTCATATGTTCTAATTATATGTCATCTTGGAGTTGTGAATTTGTTTCTATTCAGTTATGTTAAAGCAGGTGGGATTTTGAGTTTTCTGAAGAGTTTTGGCCGTTTGAACTTGAGTTTGCTAGAACGGTGTTTTGGTTGCTCAAGCTGTCTTTCATTTCTCCCAGATTCAGTGTCATAACTCCAGAAATGTGTTCGATATTAAATAATTGAGATTGGTGACCTTCCATATGTATGTTCGGGAGTTATGATGCATATCGAATGTCATTATTTATTTTTATTTTTTTTGGAGCATTACATAATTCTACATCCCACACGCATGTAAAACAAATAAAGTGATCTTACCTCAGTGCCACATAGGTTAGGAAGAAACTTGCATTAGATGGAAGGCTTTCCGCAAGTAACGAAACGATAAAGTTAGGATTCTTCTCAATTGTCTTCAGGGAATCAAATAGAGTTCCACCCAGTGTAACTCCAAGAAAAACATTGAACACTGTAAAGTAAAAGTATTTTCCTGACGCAGCCCTTTCTACATGACTCTGTGAAGGAATGCCCTCAACCTTCGACAGAAACAAAAGAAACTTTGGCAGCAAAGCCAAAAATATGATAAGGGCAATCTGTGGTAGGTATGCTTCCAAAACTGTCTTAATTTTAAAGAAATTAATAATTGGCTTCAGAAACGGTAGAAGCTTCTGCAGATTTGTGAGTGTTGTGAATGCAGAGATGAGCCCAATTGGAATCATATAAAAAATTATAGTCAAAGAAACAATAACATAAACAACAGACTGCCTTATTTGCCTCTCATAAAACTTTTTAGGAAGATTAGTCCATATCAGTTGGCGCGGCTCAGGAGCATCCATGACCGTCCATGTGTCAACCATTTGGGCATGTAAACTCTGAGCTGCAGAAGCTGCAGTCACCCGGCTGAAGAAGAAGACCAAAGCTGAAGGCTGTTGTTTCTCTCTGAGAGTGACCTTTTGTTCAGCTTCTAATTTTGGGATCAGTTCATTTATTTTCTCACTGTAGTACTCTATGGAATCTACCTTTTTACCAATGAGACCAAGAAAACCAATTTTGTTTGTGGGTCTAATCCCTTCATGTTTTTCCTCTGCATATATGGCTTCAGCACGTGCAAGCTTCTTTTTGTACCCTTCCAACTCTTCCCAAATTGTGTTCACCTCCAAAAAAAATGAGGCAATAATCGATTAGTTTCAATTAAATGAAAAACTAATGAAAAGTGGTCAAAAACAGTTATGATATAGAGATACCTCTTTGTTGTTAGTGACCACCATTGATCTGTAAAATGTATCGGGATAGATTGTTTGAAAATATGAATCAACTTGTTCCTTTCTTGTTTGACCTTGGGGTGGAGGAGGTATGTCTCTGACAACAAGAGCAAATTGTTCAGCCCTCACTTTGGGAGACATTAAAGCTGCAGCCCTCAGATCAGAAACATGGTTGTATGCCTTCCACAATAGGTAATATGCAACAAATGAAACCCAATAGGTGGCTATCACAAATGCCCACAACCTCGGACTATTTTCCTGTGAGACCCCCATTGAAGACAGACAAAACCAGGAAGCAAATTAGATGGCTGAAGCACAGTGACTGCATAAGACCGTTGTTTGATTTAGATGAACATTGAAAAGCTACTTTGGCAAAACAAAAAAAAAAAAAAAAAATTATGGAATGGAAATCACAACCATCGTCCAACAGGAGTAATTATTGGGCAACTTACTTTAACATGTCCCATGGATAGTTTATCAAGGTCGTTGAAAGCTCTCTTGCTCATGGTATCAGCCGACTTGACACTATTTTCAGTGGCAGCCAGTGGCAGAAGAACTGGTAGCAGCACAATGCTAGCTAAAACTAACATTTCCAACACTGGTGGAGCAGATTACAAAGAAAGTGCAAGTTCATGGGAAGTGAGCATGTAATAGTCTGGTCAGTTAAATAGACAGTAGTAATAAACATGGTAAAAAGAATCCTAAGTGCATTTTAAGAAAAATCTATCTATCAATATGCAAATAATCCTAAGTGAAATTTACCACAAGTGAATTAATGTTTTGAGGGTAAATTAAGCAAATAGCTAGTTCCTCAAACATACCACTAATTTCATTTTTGTCTCTAATATTTGATTTATCACATTCCTAAATTTGACATGTTATTCCAATATAGTCCATTCCCTAAATTGTTGTCTAATAAGAAAACAAAAAATATACTTGTGTCAATCTCACATCGAGTATTAAAAGACATAAGGACATTTTAACACATCAATTTATGCCAAATATTATCAATCAAGTGATGGAATAAAAAGTTTCTGTGTTTTGTTTTATAAATAATGTACATTTCACGTGTCCCATAACTTCCTCCAAAAATAAAATAGAAAATGACTTCCTCCAAATGCTCTTCATATGCTCCAGTGTGATGCTATAACGTAGGTATTTTTTGTATGCTTTTAACATGACAGTTAGGATAGGGAACTAAATTGAATTAATATGTAAAGTTCAGCAGTACTAAAACTAATACAAACTAAAGTTAGGGATGACAATGAAATCCATGATATACTAATTATTTATGTATTTTACCCATGTTTTATAACAAAGTCACTTACTACTTTTTTTGGTTTTTGATATGCATTTACATTTAAAAAATTATTGGAACATCGTACACCCATTGAAAAATAATAATGTGTTTTGTAAATATTAGTCATCTTGGAAGGTGAAAGGTCACCATTAAATTATAGAAAATGTTATTGTGTGTATTCTTTTCGAGGTACACACCATATACATATTATCACAAAATATGTAAGTTTATTATAAAATTTTGTAATATCAATCATAAAATATGTAATCTCACTACAAATTAACGTAACAACCAATATCATAACCAAGCCACATACTTTTGTAACATCAATCACAAAATTTTAAATATTTTGTTACATCAATTTATAATAAAATTACGTAATTTATAGTTAATGTTACAATTGTAATAAGGTACCTATAATATATTTAGGCCATGTTTGTTTGGACGGATTGGATTAACATTCTCATGACTAATAGTTCTAGGACTATGAATCCATTGGATTATGTATCCTACTTTAACTAATAGTCAAGTTTAAAATAATTAGTCCGTACTTCAATTGTTTAACCAAACATCGGATTAATAATTTTATTGGACTATTAGTCCAGTCCCAAGCTCATATCTACCCAAACAAACATGGCCTTAGGGTGCACAAGATAAGATTTCCCTTAAATTATATAAAGATTATTACTCATATATATATATATATATATATCCACATGTATATATAGCTCTTACCAAATCCCCTCAAAAAGAAACAAGGGAAAGTTACTTCCATAATAATTTGTACATAAGATATTAGATATATATATATATGTATATATGAACATAGAGAGAGAGAGAGAGAGAGAGAGACCAGGGGAGAAGAAGACGAATTTGACTAAAATAGCCACTCCCCAAACGAGAAATTTAATCAATAATACACTAAACATATTAAAAAAAATACGATGCAAATTTTCTCAACTTAAAAAATTTATTTAAAATTAATTTAAATTATTTTATCTCATACGTTATGAATAAAAATTACGCCTTAGACTAACAGATTGAGGAGCCTGATTATGCTACGGTTGCATGGTAAATTATAAAAAGAGTAATGCTAGATACCCCAAATATTCTATCAAAAGTTTTACCAAATGTCTCACATGGGTGTGGGACCCACACAATGTGGGTCCCATGTGGGTCCCATGTGGGTCCCACACCCATGTGAGACATTTGGTAAAACTTTTGGTAGAATTTTTGGTGCCTCTAGCATTTTTGTTATAAAAAATGTTATTGTGTGTATTCTTTTCGAGATACGCATCATATGCATCTTATTACAAAATATGTAAGTCTATTATGAAATGTTATAATATTAATTATAAAATATATAATCTCATTACAAATTATCATAATAACTAATATCATAATCAAGTCACATACTTTTATAACATCAATCACAAAATTTTAAAATATTTTATTACGTCAATTTATAATATAATTACGCATTTTATAGTTAACGGTACAAAAATATACATTTTTGTAATAAGGCACCTATAATACATTTAGGTCATGTTTGTTTGGCCGGACTGGATTAGCATTCTCATGACTAATAGTCCAAGGACTACGAATCCGTTGGATTATGTATCATATCTAACTAATAGTCAAGTTTAAAATAATTAATCCGTACTTCAATTGTTTAATCAAATATCATATTAATAATTTTATGTCCACCCAAACAAACATGACCTTAGGTTGCACAACATAAGATTTCGATTAAATTATATACAGATGATTACTCATATATATATATATATATATATACATATCCACATGTATATATAGCTCTTACCAAATCCCCTCAAAAGAAACAAGGGAAAGTTACTTGCATAATAACTTGTACATAAGATACTAGATATATATATCTGTATGAACATAGAGAGAGAGAGAGAGAGGGAGAGAGGGAGAAGAGAGAGAAACCAGTGGTGAGAAAGACGAAGTAGACAGCAGAGTCAACACCAGACATAGCGATAACGTCTTGCTCGGTGGAAGAGAATGCCTCTCGGATCCAAGCAAATGGGTTCCGGGTCCTACACCCACCCTCCCAGGGATCCATCCCCCTCATGATCCGATTCGGGTAGTACACTTCCTTGTTCCCCACCTTCCTCGACAAAAATGTGAACAACAAAATTAATACCAGGAATATTACGAACGATGTTCCTAGAGATATCAAGAAAGAACTAAAATCCATCTATCTGATCTCTCTCTCTCTCTCTCTCTAACTCTAAAGTCCATGAAAACTAGCCATTAATGTAGAGGAAAGTGACCGTTGAGATAGGATATTAAAACAACAGTTACGGAATTTGAGAGAGGGTTGATTGTTTATGATGCAAAGTTATGCAAACAGGACTTGGTATTGCAGGAAAAAATTATCTATGCATCAATGGTGGATTTGATTAGCTTTTCTTGTAAGAAAGAAACGTGGGGTTACCGTGGGGTTACACGTATTTTTCTTTATTGTTTTCCTTTTCTTTTAATCCACAGAGAGAGAGAGAGAGAGAGAGAGAGAGTGAAGCAAAGCGAATTACATGGGAAGGGACATGGAGGAGAGAGAATGATGGGAGAGAAGAAAACCAAATGACTAAAACGGCCACTGTATTTTAACTGTCAACTTTTTTCTATATTAGCGGTAAAATGGCCACTCTATTTTAACTGTCAACTTTTTTTACATTGGCCGTTCGCACATGTGATATACGTGTAATTTAAATAATTAAAAATATAAATTAAACATGTATTATTTGTTGTTCAAATGGTAAGTGTCTTTTTTATCCAACTTAAGGTTTAAGATTTGAGTCTAGCGATTATGACAGTAGGCGTGCATATAATTTGGATTGTTCTAGTTCCAAGAAAATCCAAGAACCAAACAGTCCTAACATTTCTTGAATTTTGAGAACTAAATCAAACCGTTCACACCTATAGATCCGAATCAAAACTAAATTGGAAAAATAGTTCGGTCTAAAAATTATCATTATTCCATTAAGGCAAAATGATAACTTTTACCTTATAATAAAAAATAATAAGTGCTAGGCATAGCCCAAGAGGGCCTAGCCCATGGCCTAGGAAGGCTCGACCCACCTTTGTCCTAAGCTCTCCAGACAGTCGCATGGTTAAAGCCTAACAGTAATGAGAAGCCGGTGCTGGCCCAGAGCATTTAGACATTTATCAGATAGGGAGCCACGTAGCAGACAAAGATTCTGCAGAGTTATTGAAGCCACACATCAGGCATTAAATGAGGTTGTCATGGCATTAAATGTAACAAGACCTCTCATACCCGAGCATGCAAAACCATTATGACCGATGGTAACCAGACTATAGACTTTCAGCTAACGAGACCGCTCAAATGGACTAGGAAATGATGAGTAAGGGATGTAAGAAAGCTTCTGAAGTACATTTTGTAGTAACTAATTCTCTAATTCTCTCTTTTTTCCTCTCTAAGTTACTATTCAGACTACGTTCTGATCTAACTTGATTATCGAAGGGTCTACGAGAAGGAAACTCCCCATTTTGAAACCTTCCCAGTGGGCTTGTTACACCTTCAGCTTGGAGGACGAAGGTCAACCGATCAACAGAGTGCTTGGATTAGTCCGACCAAACAACATTATCAACTGGAGCCGTTTGTGGGAAATATTCTGGTTAACAGTTGTGTTCTTTGTCACCGGAGGAAGTTTCACTCTTACTTATCTTCTACGTCGGAGTGAATGGTTACGAGAAGATCCATGGCTTCACAACACAATACTGGCAACCCTCAAGCTGAGTTCTCTAACCAAAACAACCCATCTCCATATTTTGCATAACTCACTAACAACATCAACTGCCTAGCCGAACAACCAAGCTCTGATTAGCGTTTTGCTTTAGTGTGACTTACCTGTCCCTCTCTCTCCACCACCACAAGACATTCGTCCGAACCAGGAACAAACCCATTCATCATCTCTTCCAACCACATGTGTCCCAAGGGCAGTTTCTCTCGCCTTACGCCCCACAAGCTCAACAGTCGAATCTTGAAGGTCTGCACACCCTTTCTTTGGGCTTGCAATTTCACTAGAAGGAACCTCCACTCTTCCATAATCAGCATTCACAACACCGTGCTGCTGTCCATGATAGAGAAACTAGTAATGTTCAACCCCCACTTCATGCCAAAGGAGACAATGTTCCCGTTTGAGACGAAACACTACGAGCCATGAAAATCCAGCTTCAGGGGGTCACATAGAACATGTCAAACAAGCCTTCCTTCACCACCAACTGCCTCTTTACCGTTTCTATCAGGGACAAACCTATACTTTCTAAGTCTAAAATGCCATCGATCGACACCTCCAACAGTACAACCGATCCGATTGACCACGTAGAAGCGTACAGGACGCTCATGATCCTCCATGCCTTTCCTGATAAGATCATGTTTCATGGTTTCCCCGTTACGTTGAAGGGATCAATACGACTCTGGTTTAGTCAACTCCAGTTAGACTTTGTCACTTCTTTTAACTAGCTCAGCCAATCTTTCTTAAGCCATTTCATTGGTGCTCAACGTCAATGGCACCTAGTGACTCAGTTGCTAAATATTCAACAGACAGAAGGGGAGTCACTGCGCAGCTTTGTCATTCACTTCAATACAAAGGCCTTACTGGTTGAGGAGAATGATGACAAGGTCATTTTAACAGCTTTCATGGCCGATTTGCACCCATATGATTTCTTTCTTTTTCTCTCTAAAAAAATCCTCCAATTACCATGGTCATCCTCCTCGCCAAAGCCCAAAAATACATGAATGCCGAAGATTGTTTGGCAGCTCGCCAAGATTCTACATCTAAGCCTCCACAATCCAAAGAAAAGAAAAAAAAACCCGAGCCCAAACACTCCCCGATCTCTCCAATATTCTGACTAATCCCCACGCTCTGATTGACCTGCCCCTTCCCGTCTACCTGGTCATTTCAAGCGCTATACCCCTCTTAACTCACCTATGGAGCAAGTCTTACACCAAATCCAACGTGACTATAACCTAAAATGGCCCTAACCTTCAAGACCCTCTTCTGTCTGACGGGACCATTTGAGCAACTAATTTGTCAGGGGTGTTTGAATTGATTCACCACAACCCATCCACAGCAAAGAGCTAGGACCAATCCCCCAAGACAGAAGGATAGATGCACTTCCTCTATATGGTCGGCTGGCCATGCTCAGCACCAGGCAGATATTTTGCCGCCAACTGTTCCCCTATGTGCATGCCTTGCACCAACTGGCTCAATACAAATATTTCTGACAGGGTAACCTATTTTTTTATAAATACTTGACCACCCCTAAGGGTTTAAGGTTAGAAAATTTTTCCAAGCGCCCAAAGCTTACCAAACATTCTTTCTCTCTCTCTTGCATTATACATACACTTCTTAAACCATAAACTTGAGGCCTTTTGCTGAGATTCTTGACCCTAAATTTCAGCTCTTGAGAATGATCATGTTGTGATTTGTGAACAAAAGAGCATCCTCTCTTCAAGAGGTATAGCCTTTGCCATCTCTTTCCTTGTTTACACTACTCTTTTCCACTCATTTTCTTGTTGTTTATACTCTATTTTGGACTGAATTTAAGTGCAAAAACTTGTAATTTAAAAGCTACCAAAGGTGGAGGGGTTAATCACCTTTTCTTGAACCTTATCCATATCTTATATCCTTGTTCTTCGCACTTGTTTCTTTACTTTTAGCTACTGCTTTTTAGAGTTTTCAAAGGCAAAAATATGTGATTTTAAGGTCCAAAAAGTGGAGGGGTTAGCCACCCTTCTTTAAGCTTGCTTACTAGCTTTTTTTCTCTTCCATTTTTGTTTACTTTTCCTAGCTTTTCAAACTGATTTTCAACACTGTTTTGTGCTATTTAGGGACTGTTTAGTGTGTTTATTTAGTGTATGCTTTGAATACTATGCTTGTATTGTTGTAAGCCCTCATAGATTTGGTGGTTTAGACCATAGACACAAATCTATTTGAGTTGATAGCTTTCTTTACATAGTTGTCATACATATATTCACATTTGTAATAATCACCTTGGCATAATCATCTCTGCAACCTGCCTTCTTTCTTTGCTTTCTTTGATTAAGAGTTGTCTCAAACACTAGGTTGTTGCCTAAGGCATAAGAAAGAGACTTTCCATGTTTAATGGTTTAATCTCTTCAGAGGTTCATTATCAAGGCATTACATATCTCTCATGTTAAGTACAACTTCTTGTTTGACACTTCTCTTTATCGCTTTTTGCACTTAGTGGGCGTAATTATCACTCTTGGACAAAATGAAGAAAAGATAAGAAAATGGCAAGGTAATGCAAAATAGGGTAATAAAATTGAGGTAAAATAGGTTAAAAAAAAAGGGTAACAAATTTGAGTTGGGTTCAATCAGACGTTATATTGAACCTATTGAGTCTTGACTCACTACATATTTTGTAGTGATGTTTAGTGATTCAAGAGTCAATGTCTACCAGTTCCCTTGAGATAACTCTATGATATGGAGGAGGTATTGTTGGTCATTCATTTCTTTTATTGAGCCTTTATCCTATCGGTTCTAAGATCATCATGCAACAAACTTGCGACAATTGATGGTTTGTGAACCAAATCTACTCCTTCCTTGATCATTTTCATGATAGGGAGAGGCAGAAAGGATAAACATTCCCTAGAAATACTTTGTTTTACTTTGTTCCAATTCTGTGGTAGCAAGGTAGACCCCAAAAATAATGGCCGACCATTTCTCAAGGCTGGTTGGCCACCTTTTGTTGTGTAAGCAGTGTCATTTTTGTAGCAGAACAGAGCAGAAACTGAGGCCAAAACAAACTAATTTTCTCACTGCGAACAGAACAGATTCTAGCAGCAAAATAGAGAGGTTTCCAAGAGGATGTTCTCGGTTGTGTGCTTGTGGCTCCTCGCCTCCCATCCCATTAATTTAGTGCTTTAATATTAATGTGTTATAATTAATTGGTTAGCTTAATTCAGATTTGTAATAATTAGTTAATTTAGCTTATTTATTTATTTGGCATTGTAATATTTACCAAAATCGGACATTCATTCGGACCCTTTTGTATGAGGGCACACTTGTAATATTGTGTATGTCTTCCAACCCCCATTCTTTCTCCCTTTTATTTACTTGCTTATGATGGTTGCATGTTGTAACAAGCCCGCGGGGGGACATCGCTACAGCTCGGACTCGATTTTGTAGTCACGGTTCTAAGTCTGAACCAAAGAGTCCAAATCCGGCAAATCGTTTTGAGAAAACAGATTTTTTGAAAGAAGTGCCAAACATGGACTGCTTTGCCAGATACAGAGTCGCCACCTAAATATTTATTTACTTGCTTATGATGGTTGCATGTAGTATCATATTTCGGTTTCATATCATTACCATGTGTAAATATCCATTTTTTGCATGCATCAGGTTCGGTTCATCATTCTAATATTGTTCTCATTTCCTACTTATTTGAATACGTGCACTATCACAT